CGTGGTCATGTGGCCGGCATGACTAAACACCAAAGGCACACGGAACGCTGTTTACCTTCCCACCAAAGGGGGTCCCTATTTTTCTACTTGCATTTTTACATGGTTTCAAGCTGCTAGGTTGGCAGAAGCTGGTTCAAGTAACAGGAGCTCACTCAGTTACATGGTACTAGAGATTCGAACTGCTGAGATGCCGACCTTCTGATTGAGAAGCTCAGCATCTTAGGCAGTGAACCACGGCGTCCCACTGGGAGCCTAGTAGAAAGAACTAAATTGGGACTGGATTTCCCTGCCTTTCATCTGAGTAAGGAACAAAGGCAGAGCCGATATCTATCTCCTTTAAAGTAGCATGCAATTTGACTTCAGGAAGTCACTCCTCTTGCTTTGAGGATATCACCAGATAATCTCTATCAAGCATTTCTTCCCCACTCTTTTCACATACAAAGGACTGGGGGAAAATGCCGAAAGGTAGAGCTGAAGTTTTCCTGGGAGCAGAAGGCTTCAAGCTGTCCTTCTACATAATTTGTACTAATGCCCACCCACCCCCACTCCTGCCCCATCCATTTCACTTTCTTTTCAAACTGCATATTGCTCACCATTGTACTACTAGATATAATCTAAGTGGCTTCAAGTATTATTAATAATAAAGTCTTGGCAGCTAGTAAAGGCAGTGCTGTGCCAAAATGGTATTCTGCATTTTTAACTCTTTTCTTTCAAAAGGGATGGGAGGGAAAATGCTTTTAATTGCTTTCTCCAACGGAAAACAACATTTCCTGAAATCTCATGGAAAAAGTGGAAGATTCTTGCAGCTTTTAGTTAGGAGATGGCCAAGGCATGAAGGCAGATATTCAGTCTCTCATGGTGGAACCATTCTATTTCAATCTTGATCTCTCTCGCTTCCCCTGCTTCAATTACATTACAAGAGAGGCAACCACAACATAAGTTCTCAGATGAGGCTTCTGCTTATTAGACAGCCAGAGAGGCTGCAAAGGTGAGGACTAAAATGAAAGACAAATTGGACAGAACAGCAGCATTACTACCACCTCATTGTATTAAACACAAAACCACAACAAAAATATGTTCAGAAGAAAACCTCAGAATGAAAAACAGAAACAGAAACTTTATTCATAAGAATAGGGAAATCTCAAGAAATGGACAGGTTTCAGCCTAGAGCAAGGAAGGGCAGAACTTGAGTCACTAAAAGGGTAGTAGAGGTCTGACTATAGATTTTTTGACTAGATTTACAGACTTTTGGTGTGGACCAGGAAAAAATGAAATTATGATGTATGGTTTTGGTAACTGGAAGAAATAGATTATAGAAAAAATATAAATCATGTTTTAATCCTAGACTAAGAGGTTTTAAAGAAAATTGGAAACTACTTCCATATTTTCTTTCCTATTTTTCTTTCCTTCATTTGTAGCCCTTTCTTCTCTTTTTTCTTCTTTTCCCCTGTATTCTAAATAATCATTATTGTAAATATTTATCTTTCTTTTTCAAAACTGCAATAAAGTTATATGAAAAAAATTCTAAAAAGGAAGTAAAGTCATTCTTCACTGCAAACAATCTAAACCTCAGCTATATTTCCTACAAACCAGAAATCTTGGATTTCCTGTGTTGCATTTAATAAGCTTCAGTGATACTAGTATTAGAGACACAAATCTCTTACAAATCCTTTATACTTGCCTTAATGAAAAAAAAAATGTTTGTTACAATTCACAACCTCCATGCAATGAGATACAAATCTGCCTGTTTACTTGACACAGGAGAACCTGAGACCACATGTGAGTGTATATGTGTATCTGTCTCTGCCTGTTTGTCTGTCTGTCTGTGTATGTACATATCTCAGAAGGAAGGCAGGGGAAGTAACGTCAGGTTAAACCATCTCTAGGACAAAGAGAAGGTAGAGGGGGCATGCAATGCATTCTTAACCAGAGGTGGTATTCAGCCAGTTCTGACAGGTTCTGGAGAACCAGTAGCGGAAATTTTGAGTAGTTGGGAGAACTGGCAAATAGGCTGGCCCTGCTACCTCCTAGCTTCCCAGCTGATCTTTTGCTTCCCTGAACAGGAGAACGGATCTGGAAAGCAGGTTAGTAGAGTGGGGAGGGAATGGGGATTTTGCAGTATCCTTTCCCTGCCACACCCACAAAGCCATGCCCGCAGAACTGGTGGTAAAATTTTTTGAATCTCACCACTGTTTTTAACTCTAACTATATTCTACTGCCCCCTTGTAACCAAGAAGTCATGAGAAGGTACAGAGCCAGTGTTTTTTAATCTATACCGCTAGCAATATGGAAAGCAAAGCTAACACGTTCCATTCTATCCTACCGCAAAACTACTGCTGAGTCAGTACAATGTATTCTTGGTTTTCTTGTGGTTATTCTTGTTGAAAAGTTAGTTTGTACAGGCTTCCAAACACCTCTTTCAAACACTGTCTTTATTTTATTCATGTCAGGGACAAAAGGCAGAAAGAGACAAAAAGCTGAACTTCTGTTTACTCTAGATTTCATTCTTTTTATCCAGAGATACCATTGACGGATGGGAAGGTGCAGAGTCCCTATCTTATCCCACCTTGTGTCCTACCTTACCCCACTTTGAAAAAAAATGTTTTAGATCAGGAGTCTCCAACCTTGGCAACTTTAAGCCTGGTGGACTTCAATTCCCAGAATTCCCCAGCCAGCTTTCTGGGAGTTGAAGTCCTACAGGCTTAAAGTTGCCAAGGTTGGAGGCCCCTGTTTTAGATAATATCCTTGTTGTTGGCTAGTGACTCCAGATCTCACCTTGCTTGATGATCCTGAATCATTCAATGGACTAAATGCCTCTTCCCCGTCCAAATGTCTATCCTTCTATCTGCCCCAGCTAAGCCTGAAAACAGCCGGCCCAGCCCAGGGAACAGCTTGCAGTTTTAATCCTAAGCAGCTAAAGGCTACGTTCTTCATAGTTAAAGGTGCCAATAATTAAAACTTTTCCTAGGGGACCTGTTTGTTCACACTACGAGTGCATTTACTGAGAAAGCCATCCTACAAACGGAAAGGGAAGGCTTGGCTCCCTGCCCAAACATTGTTTGAAGGATTCCTGGCTGCTGAATGAAGAGCAGCCTCTTCCCATCTAAGGAGCCTGTTCTTCCTGCCCACCTGCACAAAAGCAACACAACTCCTCCCCTTTGTAAGTTAGTTGCAGGGGTCAAAGGTGGCCAGCACTTTGCTTTCAAAAATCCAGCTAATGTAATTTGTGGACTCTGAATCATTTTTAATGTGAACATATGTACATATGCCTTTGTCTACTAATGCATATGTGTATAAGCACACATTCAGGTATGTATAGGGGGGAAAGTAATATTTTGCCTTGTTTCCTTATTGCAAACATCACTTAATGCAACAAAAGGAATTCAACTTACAGAGGCAGATTCTGATGAGTCCTCTTCTTCACCTTCCTCTCTATTGTCTTCAATTTCCTCCATTACTTCAGCCTTTGCCTCTGCCACCAGCTCACGTAAGGCTTTATTACTGGTGACCTTGCTGACAAAAGGATGCTAAAAAAAAAATCAAGTTCATGATGAGCAAACTAGTCTGATTCTCTTGCAAATCTAGAGCAAGTCAGTTTAAAATGAATGTCGAGGCCTTGTCAGCTGCTTCCCCCTTCCTTTGCTACTCAAATATTCATGTACAATACAGGTAGGAAAATATTAGAAAGTGCAGAAAGGAATAGATTAACATTAGAAATTAAGGAGAAAGAACAAGTTGATTATTGTGATATGGGAAGTGTTTTGTCAATGGTTAGAGAATAAAAAAGGAAATTGCAAATAAAATAAGGCAAAAAGAAGAACAGAAAATACATTAAGAGAGATAAATATAAAATGATAATTGTTAGCTTTAGTATGATGAGAATAACTATGTTTAATGTTATTGTATTTTCATTAGAAGATATGTTAAGAAGGAAATGAAGAGCTTTATAATATTTAACTGTTCAATGTATTATAATTTATGGAAGGAT